TTATTTGCTTTGTGATTTTAATTGCTCTAATTAAATTCCAGAAAATTCGAGTAATATAAGTCGGCATGGTATTAAGTTTAATTTTATTGATTTCAATCCTAATAAATATATTATAGAAAATTTACTTAGAAAATTTTTTTGGATTCCTAGCTCATGATATTTTTAGGCTTCGGTTATTATTTGTGAGTTTTAAGTGGGTTTCAGAACTAATATCTACGGTAAACATATTTCAAAATTAATAAGAAAAACTCTGCGTTGGTTTTCTTTGCCATAATACTCACCTTTGTACAGGGTCATTCATTTTGCGGTTTTGAAAATAAACTTAAATAAAGCGCAATCCAAATAATTTGTCTATGTAATTCCTTTTTTTTTATTCTAGGGCTTGACCCTTGACATTATATGTGAAAAACTATTCAATTTCTTTCTATTATTCAAACAACCGCCTTTCGAATTTTCGCAAACTTCCCTCCGCTTGTGGTAATTTTTGACCACTTAATGGCACATATTGGGCGATAACTCAAGTGTTCAAGACTTTAAATCTTATCTGAGTAATTACAGTCTTAAGCTCAAACTCTATTAACACTTGTGTTGAATTGCGCCGATGCAAGTATTTAATGGTAGCAAAATTTATTGATAAAAGAACTTCATCTTTCACCGGCCTCATCGATTTGCAGAGGAGCACATATGCACACATTGGGACACAGTAAGTTATTGTTCTTGATGCTTAAGGTGATCTTCTCGACCGAAAAAAAATGGAATTCTTTGATACATCAGATGATTTGCAGTTTTAAGTTTAATTTTCTATTCTAAACACACTTTTGAAGAAAGTCCTGTAATTGACTGAGAGGCTGACTGAGAAGCAGACTACCTTCAAGTGTTGGAAAGCAGCCTTTTTCCTACCTTTTCTTGAGCCTACAGGAAGTTCCCACTAAATTTCTAACAGAATTATGCTCGTATTCATGTAAGCAAATGTAGTCGAATCGACTGAATGCTCCTTAATAACTAAAGGCAAAGTAGTCTGCTCTCCGGACTTAGATCTGATAGAGCAGGTAGGGGCCACATTGATGAGCTAAAGCTGCAATTACACCGAATGATCTAACCTGGATGTCAATCTTTTAAAGAATTTATTTAAATCGATAAAATAAAGTTTGTTTTGCGTTAGAAAAGGCAATGGTGTTTCTATTGGTTATTATTGTGTGTAATAACCAATGGCTATGAGTTCCAGAAAAAAAGTTTGCCTTGATTTCAACGACAGTGAAAAGTAGCTTATAATTTTGCAACAAACAGAAAACCGTTTTGGTTCTAAAAAGAATCTGTTTTAATTATTCCAAAAGACAATTTTTCAAAATACTACTTTGCTGACGAATTTTGTTGGTCGAAATATTCAAAAAGAATGTGGTGTCTTATGATTTTGAAAAAATTCGTACTTCGTAAGTATTGTCTGCTTTTATGCGCGTTAAAGGAAATTTTTTAGGTTTTTAATTAAGCTTATAAAGTTTAACTAATTCAGTAATTTATCACATGACATTGGTTGTCAACAAATTTACGCTTGGCTACTCAGCTGTCGAATTGTTGTTAACCAAAAGACGCTTTGCAATTTTTGAATGCGTCAGCTGGGTGTTGTTGAGTTAAGATTTTGTTGCACAGATTTTTAGTTGTAAAAAAAAAACTAAAACATAAAAATATGAAAGAAATTCTGGAAATCATATTTATTTTTCGAATCGCCATTAATAAAAAAAATTCTTTTTTATCTGCACCTTTGTAAAATAAATTTTCGTATGCATAATTAATAAAATAATTAATAAAATCTATTGGAAATATTATGCAAATCTTTCAAGAACTAAAAAAAATAACAAAACAAACAACGAAAACATACAAAAATATAATATGAAACCAAAAGTTCCATAACCAACCACAAACAACTGCATTAACCACTCTGCTTCTACTGAAACGAAAAAAGTGGTAAAATAAAACTGAAAAAAGTCCAATGATTTCAATTGAAATCAGGAATCATTTTATCTTCTAAAAGTTATAAATATTGTTATATGGCTAACTATTATATAATCTGCGTAACTTATAATGTGCATATATTTGAATTTGAAAAATATTTCTACTTAGAACTTGCTAATCAGGTATTCGGAGCATTATTTTTTATTGGTTTATTGTTTATTTATGTATGTATTCTTTTTTTGATTTAAATATTTTGGTTTTTTAAGCACAATAACTAGCTTCATAGCCTCAGAACTTCTTTAGATTTATGGAGTTGAGTTCACTTAAAGTATTTTATTATGCTGTGAAATGCAGTTGCTCGAATGTGGAAAATTTTGCGAAATATTTTTTTTGTAATATGTACATATGATACATATTTATGTATTTATGTGTTTGCGAAAATTAATAATTGAACTTCACAAAAAGGTTTCAAATTATTTTTTTTTTTTTTGAAATCAAATTTTAGTCTTATTCAGCTTCTTTCTTTTACAATCAATATTTTTGTTTTGAAATATTGAATATATTTAAGTTACCTCGTTCTGCAGAGTGAAAAATAACTATAAAACAAAAAATAAAAAAATAACATAAAACACATATCTTCTTTCGTTTTCATTGATATCTGATATTTTTTTAAGATTTTTAAAATAACATGAATTTAGGACTCAAGAATTTCTCAAGATATGTATGTACGTACATTTTTAATTTTTTCTTTTCTTCTGAATTTATAGACAAACTTGTTCATAGTTTTAATTTTTTTATAAACTTGTATGTATGTTTATCTAAAAGTATATACAAAGCCAGCCAAAAAGTATTTACGCGTTTAACTCGAAAATGGCTCGGCCGATTTGTTGAATATTGATCGTGAAATATACATGTGTTAGTTCATGGTAAATATAAACGGTTAGAGAGCTCCAGAAGGTGAACTAGGGTTTGATCTATTCCAAAAAAGGTTTGTATGGTTCGATTTATATTAAATAAATTAGCTCTGTACCACATCGGACACTTTTTGCTTAGACTAGTATTAGACCTACTCTTTTCTCCGGAAAGTGGTGCCGAGCTAATTTATTTTGTTTTTTTAATTTAGCCGCAACACTGCACTACTTTTCAGGAAGTGAACCAGCACCAACTTTTTAAAAAAAAACATGTTTGTGGTTCCTTTTATATTAATTAGGTGATTGACTGAAATTGATGCGAAAAATATATACTGCTTATGCTTCGAATTGATTGATTGATTGATTGGTTTCCCAGTAATAAGCAAGAAACTAAAAACTGGAAATATATATTGTATTTTCTTTACAGGGAAGAAATCACCGATAAAATGAGTATGATTTGGAAATAAAAACGTGTGACTTGATTTGCTTGTTAACATCAAACTTCATCAGCTTCGCCTAATTCTTTCGAAATAAATGCTCGAAATTATTCTTCTGCGATATTTGCGGAATTTTAACCGATTTCAAAAGACGAATTCAAGGAATATATTAATTATATTAAAAGTATATAATATATTAAGCTAGCTATTTTTATTATTTATTGAATTTTCTCAAAACTTCAATCGCGTTTTTTTGGATATAAAATAAAAAAATTTGTATAAAAATACAAATTAATATAGAGAAATAATGAAACATTTGTCAAAGATTACACAATCGTCGAAAATAGTCACTCCACGGCAGAAAATGCCAAACCCTTCGGGTGTATTACTGGCATAAAAAAAAACACCACCACAATCGTTGATCATGTTGACATTTTCTCAAAACATAGAGAAAAGTGTATTCTAAGCCGCCTCCGAACTGATAATAAATATTAATATTAATAACTTTTTATTTGGTGTCGAAAATATATTGTAAGTGATGCCGAGAGTCGCCCGCAACAATTTTTGAACCTTTTATAGGTGAGTATTAAAGCAATAGACCCATAGTAGTGCGCATCGCTTATATTTTCAAGTTTTTAAAGAATATTTATACCCAATATATATATATATATATATACAAATAAGAGTGTTCTGAAAATATTATTTTTTTTAATATGAGTTGCGTAAGCTCCTTTTAAAAAATAAGTATAAGCTAATCCAGACATCCGGAAGATACATTTACATTCATTTGGTGCGTGCATCAATCAAAATTGGTTGACTTTTACCACCATTTTCCGCTATTACTGGAAGACATGAATATTTAATATGCGCTGCCACTCGTATTTAGTTTTTCCCTATGCTTTAAATTTATTGTTGTCGAAAAAAATGACCTCCTTCCAATTGAATTTTGAAAAATCATATAAGGATCACTGTTATTTAGATATCCAACTTTTGTTTAGAGAATCGATACTATCATATATGTAGGAGTACGAGCATATAATTCGCCTTTTTGAATTACGAAATTTTTTCCTCATTGTATATGTTGATGATTTATTTAATTCTGCGCGCAGCGAGGTTGCGCATTGGGCTTCGGACCCGCCACGTAGAAACCAGCTCCAATGCAAAAAGCTAATATATTTAAATAGTCTCATTAAAGATAACCAACCATACATGCTTAATAATTATAAACAATATGACTTGCATTTTGCATTTACACATATGCTTTTGAAAGTCCAAGCATTAAGCCAAATTTGCAAACGTACATGCGCGTGGGTGAATTTACACAAAAATAGGCATACAAAAATTTGCTGGCAATTAGATGTACTAAGGTAAATTCATGTAAACCAGTTTTTTATTTGGTAAGTTTGGTAAGATGAAAGTATTATAATTAGTTAAATTTGCTTTCGTGTATGAGCTCATACAGTTCAATTAATTGTTTTTGGTGTTGACACTGCACTTGTAAGTTTATTTTTACTTCTAGATGAAAAGTTCTTATATTTTAGTTATTGTATGGGGAATGTTAATCATACGCCCCGTTGGCGATGCACTACAGTTTATTATGATTAACTTTATTCACTGCACTATTTCTATGCTGCATGGTGTACATATTTAATTAATAACTTAAAACCTTGTTCGTTCTATTTCCAATAAACTGTCGTCTCACCTGTAGTTTTAGTTGTATTTCTTAGGCTTTTGCTTGCTGGCTGAAAACGAGACGACCTATACACCGTTTTACACCTGCACACACACGCACACCACACTCAGTTTCCAATAATTTACCACGGCTATGGTTGCTTTACTATATAAATACTACCAACTAACGGTATAAACGGTGTTCTATTTTCCCCAGCAAAAATATGCCGCTACACTTTTTCAAGCAACCGCTTCACACGAAACCCATTCACGTACTGAGCTTTTTGATACGGTCGCGCGGCACTAAGTAGTTTCTATACTTCCGTTGGTATGTAGGTGAGCCGAGAGCCAAGGTATATGTTATATCTTGTGTATTGGTGATGATGTTGATGACGATTTGAAGCAAAAATTATAAATAAATATATAAAATATACGTATACTTGTATACATACATATGTACATTTTAGAAAAAAAAAAAAAAGAATGAAGAAGAAGAAATCAGTAGAAAGCACAAGAAATGCCCAAATACCCGTACAACAAGCTCAAACACAGGCATATATCTATACACAGTTAATTATCTAACATAAGTACATACTTACGTACATAAGTATATGCATATGCACTTAAGTCACACATGCAAAAGTAAATTGTCGAAGACAAACTTAGCCTCAGTTTCGTTTTTAAGCCCCAATTGTGCTACACACTGACCAGTTTTACATACATCCGTACACGGTTGCGGCTATGGGTACGTATGCATGCGTGTTGGCATATTGGGGTGGTTAATTGTTTGCTTCGACGCTTCGGCGCGTCGGCGCTTCGTAGGTCGTTTAACGAGTTGCGATTTCATTTGTTCTACGACAACACGAGCAAGTCTACGCTTTTTCACCAATGATCGGATGATTCTTCAATTGAATTTTTTTATTATTATTTGTATTTTTCCATTCTTTTCCTCTCCTTCAACTTCGCTTTGAATATTGTATCAATTCTGTGCCAAGTTTATTTATTTCAAACGTTTTTGGAGAGATATTAGAATTTGAAGGCACACAAAAACCCAGAAATAATGCAAAACAAAAGCAATAAATTAAAAAAAAAAAATTTTTCATCCTCACTAAGTGGTAATCGCTTAGTACTGCTCACACGCTTGATTAATGATCATTTTTATTTATTTATTTATTCATATTTACCACTTTGCCTTCCGTTTCAGAAACATCGTCTTCCTGCACATTTGTGATGTCAAGGGTTAACGCCAAATTATAAAATACCGTGCTCATAAATATGCACTAGCGCCAATAGCAAAAACCAATGAGACAAGCAAAAAAAAAAAAAAGAAATGGAAAATTTCCGCTGCAAATGCTTCACACCTCTAATGCATGCATACATATTTTAATTTTGTTATTTCTTAGCTTCGAACTGCTATTCGGCGGTTATTTAATTTGATAGTTTTTGCGCAGTTTGCGGTTCACTCGTTTTGCCGTTACTGCATAAACTGGTAACTAACTGGTCAATCAGCGCGTACTCTTGACTTTGAACTTGAAGCAATTTTTCGTTTGAGTTGTAGTTAGTGTTGTTGTTTTCTTTTCATCTGATATTTTGTTATCAACTGCTTCACCGTATTAAATCTTTTGACCACTGTTTAGTAACCTCGTGTAAATTAGCAAATTTTAGTTAAAATCTTCACTAGCATTGATGTGGTTTCGTATAGTTTTGCGTCATAATGACATTGCTACATATGCATGTGTACGCTATTTTCGATTTTCGAAATTCTTGAACTCTTAAAAGATAAGCATAAATGAAAATCACTAAATATTTTAAATACTTGTACTAGTAGATTTTTTAATACTGGTCAAGTAAAAAGTTCGTTCGGTTTTTATCATAGACTTGGCGTTATTGTCCATAGTACTAGTGTTACATGTTGCATCATGTCATACCATGCGGCGCTGAAAACGTATTTATTCTCGCTAAAATTTTGTCTTTGACAGTTTTTCAATTGATTGACTCAGCACGTTGTGAGCGCTCATCAAAGATGGCACCAGCGAAAGAGAAAATTCGCTAAATTTTAAAATTTTTCTTCGATTAAGACCAAAAGCAGTCAAAACGGCTGAAAAAGCTAATTTAGTTTATGGACCCGATACTGTAAATGAACGTGTAGCACAAAAGTGGTTTGCTAGTTTCCGTTCCAGCAATTTCGATGTCCAAGATGCACCAGGTTTTGCTGTGCGTTTGGTGGGAGTGCCAAGGAATCATCTACTACGAGCTGCTCCCGTATATCCAAACGATCAATTCGGCCCTCTACTGCCAACAAATGGACCGCTTGAAGGCAGCACTCATCCAGAAGAGGCCTTCTTTGATCAACTGAGGCCTCTTTGGTGATGCCCCAGAAGCTCCAGGAGCTCGGATGGTAGGTTCTAATGCACCCAAAATATAGGCCAGTCTTGGAACCAAGTGATTGCCATCTTTTCCGGTCCATTGCGAACGCACTTAATGGTGAGAAGTTGGCGTCAAGAGAGGCCTGTGAAAATTGGGTCTCCGAGTATTCTGCCCATAGGGCGGGTATAAAGAAGTTGGCATCTCGATGGCAATGTTTTGAAAAATCAGTAAACAACTTAAAATCAATCGCAAAATGGCGCAATTTGTATGATCCCATTAAATAATTTTTTTTTGTTCCCAATTTTCTATTCGATGCCTTACATGTTTCATAAATGGTTAAACGTGGTGGGGAAAAATTGATATATAGTGGATCATGGTATACAATGTTCTTCTTCTTCTTAGGTGTAGGCATGAATTCATTCTATTGGATTCTATTTTTAGCTACGTGGCGGCAATTTAAAGACGAACACTCCCGCCTAACCGGCCGAGTGGCGCGCCTGAGGAAATCGGAAACAGACCAGTTGCCAAAAAAGAGCGAGATCAATTAAACACTGCTGTTGAAATGAGTCTACCTCAGATCCCTCTGCGAATTTTTTTTTACGGTGTCAATCGAGTCGAAATGGAGTGGTAACTTGAGTTTTGGAAACCAAAAAAGTCAGTGAGCCCGAATCCGGTGATTGATCGATGGTGTCGAAAGAGGCATTGTCATCATGAATGTTTCCGGAAGTTGTTGGCGTACAATTCCGGCCGTTTACGACGAATGTTTTTACGCCAACGCCACAAAACACTGAAATAATACTCTTTATTGACCGTCTGTCCTGTTAGAACGAATTCATGATGAACCAAACTGCGAATATCGAAAAAAAACGATATCCGGAAACTTTCTTAACTCGCTTAATTGCAACTTAGACTTTACCATTGCTAGGTGGTATGCTTCCTCCTATGGCGAGATTAGTGAAGATCGGAATATAACTTTCCGTAATGCTTCCTTCAGCGCATTCTTTGCTTATTAACCAATGACCTTTATAAAAACTTCGGCCACTGGAAACTATAAGAAATTAAAACTGGGTAGCCATTCTCGAGTTGTAATGCTTGTCCAGCTCATAGTCGAGGAAGCTTAGAGTCGTTGCCGACCTTGGCTAATATCGTTAATTGAAGTTTAAATTTGAACGCAGATGGCAAACTTTCTCTTAGTAGTTAGTTTTCTGTTCGATAATTGATATCGTTTTTTTTTTCTTTTTAATTTTTCAAAGCAACTGGATTTGCATTAAAACCATTTTTAAACTCGCCTAAAGTTCAAAAATCCACGTTTGGAGAAGGTTCTCAAATTCATGATATTGAGAAACAGATAAATAAAAAAATGTATTACTTACGAATATGATGTTATAGCTATTGACACCAGATGGCGTTGATACTCTAATTTTAGGCAATATTAATCGGATTCTGTAAACCACTATTAGAATAAAAAGTTATTTTTAGTCCAAAATTTTCAAAACTTTCAATTAAATCGCTATGTGATAATCTTTTACCGAAAAAAAAATTACGCAGCTTAGTCGGGAAATTTTGATGCACCTAAAAAAATGGAGGTGTCACAGAAAATAATGGTCAATATGTACTCGATCAAAATTCATATAAATCTGGCGCTTTTCAATCGCTGAAGCAATTTTCGGCCTAACGTTTTTGCAACAAATGGAGGGACCTGTAGTTAAATGTAAACCAATATTTTTATGGGAAGCTTTTATTTCATGTCAGAGGTCTTGAGGGGAGGGGCGACCGCAGTGCATAATTAATAATAATTTTGGACGTTGGCCAAACCAAGACGCGAAACCCGGCCTTCCGCATGGCAGTACACAATGTTATTTTGGCCGCAAAATTAAATAAATAAAAAAAATTAAAGTAAGCCGAGGAAACTTTTATAAGTAGTGCATCTGTATACCATGGTCGGTTGAAATATCCCACAATTTCAGGGGCTAGTAGGCGGACAAACAGACAGATGGGCATGGCTAAATCAACTCGACCCGTCGTTATTTGGATGCATTTTCTTTAATTTTCGATGCTGGCATGGTAGTACACACTGCTAACCCTCGGCCTTTGTAAAATATTTATTTACAAATACACGGCTATATCGCCGGTAAGCAATTAATTATTTCAATAAATGAAAATGCGTGTTATTATGTAGAAAAATAAATATGTATAAAAAATTATGAAACGTGCATTGCGATGAATAAATATTGAGATTAGATAGATTGTGCTTAGACTGTTAACCTTACAGAAGGATAAGTGGCGTTACAAATCAAATATGTGTATGTATTGGAGTAAGCGATAGCAAAATAAGTACAAAATGATATTTACTACGAGCTTGGGGTCATCATAAGTAAGTCATATTTGCACCAATATCTGGAGTGTGCGCAAAAAAATTTAGAAAAATATTTTCCCTCTGAAAAAAAGGCATGGAATAAGTTGGGCTTTTCTTAGATACATTTGCATATAAGAGTGTGAATATGTGCACAACTTCGCCTGCGAACAACTGCTCAAACTAACAAACTAACCCGCTTTTTTCAACGCATAGCAAAAAAAAAAGCCCCTCTTCAAATGCACGCAGCATACAAGTAAATCCATACGGAAGTGACAATGGACAAATATTTAGTCAATATGAAAAAAATAATAATAATAATAAAAATATTATTATCGATGGCTATGTCGCGAATGAATGCAAATTGGTAGCGATTTCCGAAGGCAAGAAGTTATAAAAACTCTACAGCACATTGTGAAGGTCTTGCACACTTAAGATTCTGAATGCTCAAGCTCATGACTGGCGATTGATACGAGTTTCATGCTGCGCGCAAATCAAGCTCTACGTCAAACAGAGAAATCAGTTGTTGTCGGTGTTA